AGGTCGCGGTTTACGTGGTGTTTTATACGTCGTCCTCCATGTCCTCCTCCTCACACATTTCCTCCTCCTCCTTCTCCTCCTCCTCCTCCTCCTCCTCCTCCTTCTCCTTTCAAAGATAGCGGCTGCACCCCGTCTTTGCTCCTGCGCTTCCCTGGCCACCTCAACCTGACCGGGCATCGTTTTTGGATGGGCCAGTGGCGCAGAGCGTCAAGAATCCAGCTCCTACGTCACAGCCGCCGTCATCGTCGCCGCCACTGCTGCCGACGCCGTCGCCGCGGCCGTCGTCGCACGGCCCTGGCAGGGCGGCCGAAGGCGGACGAGGGAGGGTGGAGGAGCCAGAGCAGCGCAAACAGCAGCGGGGGCAGGGGCCAGCGCCGATCCAAGAAATCCGCGCGGACCTCCGAATGTTTATGTTTATGTTGCTTGTGTCCTCGGAGCGAAGCCGTCGAGGCCGGGGGCCACTGGTGGCACGCCGCCAGCACGACCCCCTCCACCCGAATGCAACCCTTTCACCACTTCGCTGTCCGCGCGGCGGCCCGAGCCCCCCCTGGGCCCAGCGCCGAGGCCAGACCTCCGGCGTCTTGAAAAAACGATGCGTTTTTTTCACATGTTTTGGTATGCGTAAAAAATGGTTTCCTGGATTTTTCGGGTCGCGGTTCACGTGGTGTTTTTGCGTGGTGTTTGCGTGCGCCACTGGAGAGGCGCAGGGGCGCAGTGGGGCAGGTCGCGGTTTACGTTGTGTTTTTGCGTTGTGTTTTTGCGTTGCTTGCGTGCGCCACTGGAGCGGCGCAGGGGCGCCGTGGGGCAGGTCGCGGTTTACGTGGTGTCTTTGCGTGGTGTTTGCGTGCGCCGCTGGAGCGGCGCCGGAGCGCCGTCGGGCAGGTCGCGGTTTGCGTGGTGTTTTTTTTTTGTTTCCGCGTGGTGTTTTTGCGTGGTGTTTGCGTGCGCCACTGGAGCGGCGCAGGGGCGCCGTGGGGCAGGCCGCGGTTTACGTTGTGTTTTTTTTGCGTTGTGTTCGCGTGCGCCGCTGGAGCGGCGCGGGGGCGCAGTGGGGCAGGTCGCGGTTTACGTGGTGTTTTTGCGTGGTGTTTTTTTGCGCCGCTGGAGCGGCGGTTTACGTGGTGTTTTTGCGTGGTGTTTGCGTGGTGTGTTTACGTGGTGTATTTTATTTCACCATTAAGGTATTTTATTTCACCATTAAGGTATTTTATTTCACCATTAAGGTATTTTATTTCACCATTAAGGTATTCTATTTCACCATTAAGAAATTCAATTTCACCATTAAGATTTCTGTTTCACCATTAAAACGCTTATTTCACCATTAGGAGAAACCGTCCCCCCCGCCCACCCCCACGCCTCCATCTCGCTCCGTGGGAAGGGCAGGTTCGACGGGCGAGGGATGGACGACAGGCTGCAACATGCCCTAATGTGTATGGGCGGGCTTCCCAGCGGGGCGCGCACGTTTCTGACGCGTTCGTTCGTTCGGGCGGCAGGGTGGGGAGGAGGGGGGAGGATCGATGATGCTGATGAGTATGAGGCTGATGGTGATGATGATGGTGATGATGATGATGATGATGATGATGATGATGATGATGATGATGATGATGATGATGATCCCGCTCTCCGAGGGTGGTCGGAGCCGAAGCGCTCGCGCCCGCCGCAAGTGTCTCGCTCACTCACGGGGTCGTTGGGCCCCCTCCCCAGGGTCCCCGAGCAGTCACACCCCGAACTGCACCCGTCTTCTTGCCGATGAAGTGCTCGATGCACGCGTCGCCAGCGCTCGATGACCGCGCCGTCAGCGCTCGATGAGCCGCGTCACTACCCCACCTCTGCATGCCGATGGTCCACAGCGCCTCGACGCTGTCGTATTGCCGCGTGACAGCTGCCGCCGCCGCTTCCATGCCGACGACCTCGAGAAAGAACTCGCTCTCGCCAGCGGGCGGGGGCAGGACCGACTGCTCGCTGTCGCAGTTATTCCCTTTTTCGTCGCTCTTGGAGGGCACCCCATATGGCGCTCCGCAGCTCGCCGAAGTGCTCCTCCCCGCCGTTCAGCTCGAACCCGATGTCCCCTGGCTCCTGCTGCTCTGCCTGCCCCTCATGCTTCTCGCTCCTCGATGATGCTCGGCGGCTCCTTGCACGACGCCCGCGCACCGCCGCCTCACTCGTCCCCCGCGCCGTCACCCGACACGTGGGCCTCCAGCTCGTTCTGGTTCTCCTCGTCGTCTTTGGGCACCCCATGGCGCCCCGCAGCGTGCTGAAGTGCTCCTCCCCGTCATTCAGCTCGAACCCGATGGCCTCGGGCTCCTGCTGCTCTGCCTGCCCCTCATGCTCCTCGCACATGGACTTCTCGATCTCGTCGAAGGGCTCCTCCCCGTCGCCGCCGCTGAGGAGCGCGACGGGGTGGGCCGCCAGGTGCTCCGCGACGGCGGCGCAGCTCGCGGTAGCCGTCGGCGCGGCAGCGCAGGCCGTGGCAGCCTCCGAGCCGCCAGCCGGCGGGGGAAGGAGCAACGGAAGCTTCTGGGCTGCCCCGGCTTCCTCCTCCAGCAAGTTAAGGAACAAGGGTGTCCCGAACTAGTCCTGGCACAACACCAGCCGCGGCCCCGCGGGCCTCCGCGGCTCCAGCGCCCGCCTTGGGCAGGCAGGCCTCGGCTGCGTTCTCACTGAAGCACGGCTCGGCGCAAGTCCGCAGCGGGGTCCTCGCGGCCGCCACCCCCAGCTCACGCATCAGCACCCCAACGTCGCAGGGCGGGCACCCCTCGGCAAGGCGCCACCTCGCCGCGAGGCCATCCACGAAAGCCCCAGCTCCCTACACGACGTGCTTTTCGCCGAACGCTTGCCACTCGCCAGGCCGCAGCACCTCGGCCTGCGGCTCCATATGCAGCCTCCCGGCCCGATGCCTGAAGAGCGACGCCTCCGCTTCGCAGATGATGACCTCGCACTCGACATCTCACTGCATTGCTGTTGCAGCGGCGGTTCCACCAGGCAGGCGGCCTTCGCGCTGCGCAGCCTTCCACTCCGACCAGGGAGCCCCAGCCTGCGGGCAACGGTTCGCATGCAGCGAGATGTTCCCCACCAAGCGCTTCCTACCGCTCTCGGGCGCGCCGCTGGGCCTCGCCACCAGGGAGGTCCTGGCTAGAGCCTTGCGGCGGGCAGCCTCTGATTCGACGCCGCCTTCACCCCATGCAACCCGCTGGCCCAGCCCCGCCCGCAGCCTCGCGCACTACGTGCGGGCAGCCTCCAGCTCCTGGCTCAGGCGCCTCACCAAGCGGTCTGCCGAGGCACGCGCCCCCTCGGCTCCTCGAAGGACGCGCGGCGCCTCACCAGGGCGCCCGCTTCTCGCAGCCATCACCCAGAGGCGGCGACCACGCGATCCCGCGCCATTTGCCGACCCAAGCGAGCTTGAGCCAGCTAGATTGAGCCACAATGACTACGGATGATGATGATGATGATGATGATGATGATGATGATGATGATGATGATGATGATGATGATGATGATGATGATGATGATGATGATGATGATGATGGTGATGGTGATGGTGATGGTGATGATGATGATGATGATCATGATGATCATGATGATGATGGTGATGGTGGTGGTGGTAATGATGACAACGGCAACGACGACGATGACGATGACGACAATGACGATGACGATGCCGATGATGATGACGATGATGGAAGATGATGATGATGCTGGTGGTGATGATGTTTAAGATGGTGAACACGACGATGTAGGTGATGATGCCGATGATGGTGATGATGTTGATGATGCTGATGGTGATGCCGATGCTGATGCTGATGCTGATGACGATGCGGATGCTGGTGCTGCTGCTGATGACGATGATGCTGACGATGGTGATGATGATGATGCTGATGATGAGTATGATGATGATGATGATGATGATGATGATGATGACGATGATGATGATAATAATGACGATGATGATGATGATGATGATGATGATGATGATGATGATGATGATGATGGTGGTGATTATGATGATGACGTCGGAGACCACTTAAGGACCATGGAGAAGCGTTGCGATGCATATCAAATCAATTGATAGCTGAGGCAACCTTGCTTCCGGATCAGCAGCACGGCATCGGGGCACCGCTCTGCTTAATAGAGATGACGGCGACGACGATGGCGATGATGCTGATGCTGATGCCGACGGTGGTGATAGGGACAACGATGAAAATGATAATGACGCTGATCCTGGTGATGCTGATGGTTACGATGATGGAGATAAGGATAATGATGATGATGATGATGATGATGATGATGATGATGATGATGATGATGATGATGATGATGGTGGTGGTGGTGATGGTGATGGTGATGACGATGATGACGATGATGACGATGATGACGATGATGACGATGACGATGACGATGACGATGATGATGATGATGATGATGATGATGATGATGATGATGATGATGATGATGATGATGATGATGATGATGATGATGATGATGATGATGATGATGGAGATGAGGATGCTGCGAGTTCCCACCACGAGGCGCCCACGGCCGCCCACCAGCGAAATCTCGACACACCCATTCCAGCGCAGGGGGTGCCGAGGCGCCCACGAGGGTCCCACGAGGCGCCCACCAGGCGAAACCCTGCCGCAGCCATCCAAGTCGTATCATCAGATTCACGAGCCGCACCGTTGTGGGAACCTCGTAGCACTGGCGCGCTGCGAGGGTGCCTCGCCGGAGCCGCAGGGCAGGCAAGCGGCAAGCATGTGTGGCGTGTGGGTGGCATCGGCGCGCGCGACGCGTGTGCACCCCAGCCGCAGCGCGTAGGGCCAGAGGGCCGCGTGGAGCAGCGCACGGCGCAGCCCATTGCACCGCGGTGCTCCGGAGACGAGCGGCGCCTTTGCGGAGAGGCACGGGGCGGCGGGCTTCACCAGTGTCCCCGAGGGGGAGGAGGAGGAGGAGGAGGAGGAGGAGGAGGAGGAGGAGGAGGAGGAGGAGGAGGAGGAGCAGCAGGAGGAGGAGGAGGAGGAGGAGGAGGGAGGTCCACCCCCGCCCTCGGGGCCTCCGCGCTCGCACGCTGCCGCCCGCGTGCCTCGGCGAGCTGGGCCTGAGGCGGGGCAGGGCGGCACGCTCCCGAACCCCCACCCTCCGCCTGCTGCTGCTGCTGCTGCTGCTGCTGCTGCTGCTGCTGCTCCTCCTCCTCTCCTCCTCCTCCTCCTCCTCCTCCTCCTCCTCCTCCTCCCTCCTTCCCCCTCCTCCTCCTCCTCCTCCTCCTCCCTCCTCCTCCTCCTCCTCCTCCCTCCCTCCCTCCTCCTCCTCCTCCTCCTCCTCCTCCTCCTCCTCCTCTCCTCCTCCTCCTCCTCCTCCTCCTCCTCCTCCTCCTCCTCCTCCTCCTCCTCCCCTCCCGCTCCCCCCTCCTCCTCCCCTCCCCTCCCCTCCTCCTGCTCCTCCTCCCCTCCTCCCCTCCCCCTCCCCCTCCTCCTCCTCCTCCTCCTCCCCCTCTCCTCCTCCTCCTATTCCTCCTCCTCCTCCTCCTCCTCCGCCTCCTCCTCCTCCGCACTGCGCGCGGCCTCCGAGACGTCATCCTACCGTGCAGCAGACCTGCTGGGAAGCAGTGAATTCGGAGGCAACTGCTGGGAGGTTTTCGTCGGAAGGGGCAAGGAGGATTAAGCCCCACTGAGGGGCTGTTACGCCAGCGTGGGCCTCGGATTAAGGTGGATTCAACGGGATTAAGCCGTATGAAACGGGATTAAGCAGGATTAAGCGGAATGAAGCCGGACTTCGGACCAGGGCACAATCAGAATTTGACCTCCCAGGAGCTGCCTCCGAAAACGAAGGACGGCAGAACCGTTCTAGGATGCCCCTGGCCCCTTGCCTTCCTCGAAGGCTGCCCCTCCCAGGGTCCCGACCCACTCCGTCCTGCCCCTTCTCCAGGACTGAGTCGTCTGTTGACGGTCTTGGGGCCGACGAGCGGCCCCAGACGCAGAACATTGAAACACAACTTCCAGCATGACCCTTTGCGAGTTGCCAGAGGCCTGGAGACGTAGTACTACAGGGCAGTTTTTAACACATCGGATTTTTGAAACAAAAAGCATGTGGACTTTAATCCCTGAGTAATGTGTGAAGAAACGTATGCACGAACTCATCGTTGTTTTTAATGCTAAATCCATGCATTTGTAATACATGATCCGCACGCGGAGCATGTATAAAAAAAACGGCACTGTACAAAGAAACGTCGGGGAAGGCCCGAGGAATAGAAACGTGGTATGGCTATCGGAGAGGGCCCTTTTGCACCACTGCGAGAGGCGCCACAGGTGGGCCAGCGGCAGGCCACACCCTGGAAGAAGAGCCCAGCTGACGAGACGCACAAGGCCAGGAGGAGGGAGAACCATCTTGTCTTCTTACACGGAAATAAAGGGAAAAAGAGAAAGAGAGAGAGAGAGGGGGGGGGAAAAAAAGAGAGAGAGAGAGAGAGAGAGAGCGAGAAACAAAACAACTAAAGACAAAGGACAGAGGACAGACAAAGCCTCTATTTTCCACTCCGTATACGAACAACGCCATAGAATGCTCCTCCGCATCGCGCACGCATGGAAAGTGTATTGCGAAAGGAACGCTGGAGGGGGAAGCATTGAGTGAACAGCTCACTGGCACGAGGCGGAGGCCGACCCCGACGACGACGACGACGACGACGACGACGACGACGACGGCGACGACGGCGGCGGCGGCGGCCACGACGTCGCCGGACGACGAGGACGACAACGACGAGGATGGCGACGACGACGACGACGACGACCACGGTGATATCCAAAGGTCTTGTTGTGGTATCCGGAAGGCCTCTGGAGGACAGGAAACGCCCCTAAACTTTCGACATTCTCCATCCGATCGATCCTCGAACCGCGCACGTCGATCAAATACCGAGGAAGACTGCGACGACGACGCAGACGTCCACGATCTCTCTCCTCCGCCGCAGCCTGCGCCCTTGCCACCGCGTCGGCGTTCGCCGCCCTCGCCGGCGCAGCCTGCTCCACCTGCCGCCCGAGGGCTGGAGAAGGGAGGATAGGAGCAGCACCAGCACCACCAGCGCAAGGAGCAGTGGAGGGTCCACTCAGTGGACCCTCCACCAATGGCGCTGGTTGCTCCACAAGCCTCATGGTGAATGGCTTTCGCTGGCGGACACACGGGCAATGCAGGGGGCTTGTTGCTGTTCCATGTGCCCGACGTCAACAGCTGTGCATCATACCCCGTAAGGTTTCCAGCGATGCGGGTGACTCACTGATTCGCGCCGTTACTTGCTGAAGTCATGCGGCCGACTCCGGAAACTCTGCGCAACAACATGCTGGCTCCTCTTGGGGGGCGCATGTTTTTACTTCCGCTGGCTCCCGCCAGCTTCCGCCGGCCAAGCCGCCCCCGTTTTCTTGCCGTCTGCTTCGGCCGCCTTTCCACCGAGAAAGCGATACCAGCTTCAGGCTCCCTCGAAGGCGAGGCTCTCTCTGGAACGCCATGTGAGGAAAAGGGAGAGAAGACACCAACATCAAGCCTCCACTGCCCACTTCGGGCCCAAATCTCGGCGTACTGACTCCCAGCCAAGCTGGGAGGTCCCCTACAGGAAGACCATCCCCAAATCCCAATCCTCCTCCTCCTCCTGCTCCTCCTCCTCCTCCTCCATTCTTTTCCTTTGGAGATAACTACTCCTCCCTGTTGCACCCCGAGTCTGGTCGAAAGGGCGGGCCGGGCGTTTCGCCTTAGACCTCCTCACCATTTATCATCCTGAAGATTTCGAAATATGGCTCGCAGCCAACACATGGCTCTCGCGTTAGCGCCGCGCACACTCGTCTGAAACAGTTGCAAGGATTTTGCGGATCGAGGGCGGGTCTTCTTCAAAATGTGGCTGTCGCCTCAGCGACACGCACAGTCGTCATAACATGTTGCAGAAGTTGCACGTATCGAGCGCAATACCTATCCAAAATGTGGCTGTCGCCTTAGCGCCACCCACATTCGTTTTAAACATTTGTAAGAGTTTCACTCGTTCCTGTGGCTAGCGTGCCACAAGCGGTGATTTGGAACGATTCGGATTGCCCAGGCGCAGCAATTATGTTGATTCGCGGTCTTGAAGTCCCAGGAGTGGTGTTATGGCACGACTCTGGATCGTCAAGACGCCGCAGTCAAGTGGACCCGTGGCGATGGAGCCCCGAGAATGGTGTTTTGGCACGCCTCAGAGTTTTCAAACGGTCGTCCCCAAACGGGGCACTTCCCTCAGTGGACACGAATCCTTAATAGGGGCCTATGAAGAGGGAGATTGGGGGGGGGTGATTCCAATCCCGTGGATGAGTCTTGGGTTTACACTGGTCCTCCTCCTCCTCCTCCTCCTCCTCCTCCTCCTCCTCCTCCTCCTCTTCCTCCTCCTCCTCCTCCTCCTCCCCATCATCCCCCTCCTCCCCCTCCCCCACCCCCACGACGACAACGACCTGGTCGTCGAACGCGGCGAGCCGCTTGGCGCACTGCTGGCTGATCTCGTTGACGACCATGAGCTCAAACTGCCCGCGCGCCGCGGGCACCTGCCGCGGGAACAGGGGAAGGGGCACCGGGACACGGGAAGGCCATCTGCGATCCACCCCTCGGCGCGTCGCAGACCGAGGTCGCGACGGCTGGCTCTCGTGTGCTCTCTGGGCCCCCTTGGGGCCGTTTCCTGGGGCTGGGGCCTTCGAGGCAAGCGGCTCAGAATGCAACGTCGGCCCCCTGGGAGGGGGTCGAGATCCCCAGCGCCCACGTCACGGAAAAAATGCGACGTCGGAGGGCAGGGCCTCCTTTTTCCAATCAGCGGCGAGGCGGCGAACTCCGCTACAGCGAGAATCTAGATCGGGGCACGAACTAGCGAATTGGCCGGCGAGCAAAGAGGGGGGGGACGGCCGAGAGGAAGAAGGGACGCTCAGACGCCGAAGAGGAAGCTGGGGGGGGAGCAGCAGTTGAAAGGGCCTACACGCAGGAAGCACTTTTACTCCCCCCGCCCTGGTTCATACGTTATGGCATGGTGCACACTGAGGGGAAGCGATACGGGGGGACTGGCATCGGGGGGGACATGTCGACTTGGAGTCGGGATGCATCGCCGATAAATCGGCGGTCGGCCCCCGATGAGGAATCCGCACGTTCCTGGGCGAGGTGGGGCTATCAGAACCCTGCGGGCGATCAATGGGTGATTGGGTGTCGATGCATTCCCCCTTCTGCCTATCACCCCCTACCGTTGCCCCTGGCATACGCCCTGGGCCACCCTGGACCATGGCATGGTTCACCCTGGGCCATGGCATGTTGCATATGCCCTCCCGACCCCGGCCCGGAGGGCCCGCACTCCTCCCCAGGCCCCACAAGGCCATGGCCAGGCGCAGTGATGGTGTATAGGCGCCTTCGCCCCACGACGACGACGACAACGACGACGACGGCCAGCACGCGGGCCGTTTCCGCCCAGGGAAAGCGGTCTACCCGCGCGAGGAGAGCATCAAGGTTCCCACCGGCTCCCACTGCCCTCCCCCCCTTGCGCTATCCTCTCTACCTCCTCCTCCCCCGTCCCAGGGCTGGTAGCCCAAGCTTGCTTTCGATGTGGGGCTCCTAGCCAGGGCGGGACCTCGCTAGCATCCCCTATAAACAGGCTGCGAGTTGGGGTCTCCCCAAGCAATGGGTGTCCCCCATTGGCAGTCCCAAATGCGGCCAACGGCCCCGAGGGACTGCTCAATGGCGGCCCGCTCGCAGACCTGGCAGTTTGGTCAGTGATCCTCCTCCTCCTCCCCTTCCTCCTCCCCCTCCTCCTCCTCCTCCTCCTCCTCCTCCTCCTCCTCCTCCTCCTCCTCCTCCTCCTCCTCCTCCTCCTCCTCCTTATGCGTATTCCCCCCCCGTGGCCGCCTGCCCGCCCCTTCCCCCCGCCCTCTGCGCGCCGCCAGCGCCTTCCCCAGCGCCGCGGGGGCCACGGTGAACAGCGACTCCTCCATGTGGACCAGCCTGGGCCGGCAGCGGCCGCGCGCGGGCGCCAGCCTCGGGTCCCCGTGGGGGCCCCGCGAGAGGACCGCCCCGAGGAAGGATCTCGGAGGGCCTGCAGAGGGACCTCGGCGGACACTCGGAGGACCTCTCGGGGACACGGGTGGTCTTTGCTGGCCCCCTTGGCCATTGGCATGCTGCCTCCCCCCGACGGCGAGCGGCCCCCCCCCCTCTTCTCCACGCGCTGCTTATATGCGGCAAAAGCGCCGAGCGCACGCGGTTCCCCGCGCTCCGCTGTCAGCCCCCTATGCCCTTGCCCGACCTAACCCAAAGCCGGGGCAGAAGCGACTCACCTGCAGCATTCGAGCACGGCCGATCGAGTTTCGCATCCGATGTCGGCCACAAAGGCCTTGCCCTGCGATTCCGCAGGAGGAGGAGGAGGAGGAGGAGGAGGAGGCGCCGGTGACTCGCCGCAGGCGTCGATGAGCGCAATACGAACGACCCCGCCGTTGCAGTTCCATCGCGGTGCCACTACAGCCACCACTCAGGTAATGACTACCACCACGTCTGGGGCCGCCACGGTAACCACTACGACCCATACGATGATGCTGCTGCCACTACTAAACTAGCATTGATACTACAACGGTTTGCGACCACCTCCCCTCGAAGTCCAAGGGGGCAAAAACACGCATCCCCGCTCTGCGCCGCCGTTTGGGTTCCGTGGGCAACCGCTGCAGCTTCGTCACCAGCGCGGCCGCCTTCGACTCCGTGTCCTGCTCGATCGTGCCATCCTTGCGGCCCCATTCTTCCCCAGCCCCCTCAGATTTCCAACTGGGCCACTGATGCAAGGTTTTGTTGTTTGCATTCGTGTTCCGTGAGCTTGGGACAATGTTTTTTCGTCTGGGTTCCCCATGACCGGGAAAAGCTGCCCCCAAGTGATGAAACTCTGGGCCACAGCCCGTGTCCCTCCCCGCGGTCGGTATACACAAAGCGCTGCCCTCATCCTATTGCACAGCAACTTGCTGCCCTACGCAACACCCAACTCGTAGCGTGTTGGCATGGAATCAATACGTATATTGAGAACGTGGCGCGATACGTTCGCTGAAACGTGGGCCAACACGTGGAGCCAACACGCAACGTGTCAACACGGACGCGTTGAACACGGCACGCGTTGCGTTCCAAAGCGAGCGTATCAGGGCAGCTATGCGCAGCATTCGATGGATCAAGAAAATGAAACATCCATCTGGGTAATGTGCACAGCATTCGATGGATCAACATATGCAACGTCCATCTGTGCATGCCATGCAGGGCCTCTGGGACACCCGGGCGGATAGAGCGGGGCCTCGGCACCGTGGGAAGTGGACGGGTGGGGGGAGGGGGTAGGCTGTCAGGTGTGGCGCGAGCGCACTCCGCTTGCCGTACTCCTCTCTCCCCCTTCCCTTCTTAGGGAAATGAAAAGTGGCATGAACATAAACACTCGGAGGTCCGCGCAGATTTCTCGGATCGCCGCTGGACCCCCCTCCCTGGCGCGCGGAGCGCGCCAGGGGCGGCGCCAGAGGCGCCGCTGGGGGGCCCCAGCGCCGATCCGAGAAATCCGCGCGGACCTCCGAGTTTTTATGTTTATGTCACTTTTTGTTCCCCTATTCTCCAGCCTCCCACGCCGCGGAGCGCCTCCTCCTCCTCCTCTCCCTCTGTGCGGCACGCGCATGTCCCTTTCCGTGCTCCCTGTGCTTCTGCTCCCGAGTCCTCCCTTTTGGCAGGTGCCGCCCTCGACCCTCGCAGGTCGGAGAGGGGAAGGCTCGTGGACGAGGTCGGCAATGTGTGTGCCATTGCTTCCCGCACTTTCCAAACCTCCTAGGGAGGAGAAAGAGGAGGAGGAGGAGGAGGAGGAGGAGGAGGAGGAGGAGGAGGAGGAGGAGGAGGAGGAGGAGGAGGAGGAGGAGGAGGAGGAGGAGGAGGAGAGGAGGGGGGGGGAGGAGGAGGGGGAGGAGGAGGAGCAGCAGGAGGAGGAGCAGGAGGAGGAGGAGCAGCAGGAGGAGGAGCAGGAGGAGGAGGAGGAGGAGTCTCCAGGTTCTCCTCGTCCTGCCTCCTCTTCCTCCTCCCCTCCCTCCTCCTCCTCGTCCTCCTCCTCCTCCTCCTTCTCTCCGTCCCTCTCCCCTCCTCTCAATCTAGATCGCCCCCGAGTCTACGCCCCGACTGGGCAAGCGCATCCGCGGAGGGGAAGGGGCAGGAGGAGGAGGGACGGAGGAGGGGGAGGGGGAGGAGGAGGACGACCAGAAGGAGGAGGAGAAGGAGCGAGCAAGGCGGGATGGAGGAACGGCCACGCGTAGATGGCACGCTGGCGAGGGGTGCCGTGCTCACACTCCCTGGGCCGACCCATGGGCGTCGGGACCGCGGCTCTTCCCACAAGCTGTGGCTGAGAACGTGTCCTGCTCTGCCCCCACGGCTCGTCGGGCGGGCCAATAGCCCTCCGGCTCTCGGAAAGACGCACGGCCCCCGCAAGACGGCTGATCGCAGGTCGTCTCCACGTCTCCAGGCCCGTGACCCGCCACTGTCACGTGCCAGGCGCCGCCGCCGGCGCGCGCCTTGCCGCAGGCTTTCGCATCCTTCGAGGAGGGCCTCCTTCGAGGAGGGCCCCTTCAGAGTAGAGTTTTCGAGGAGGGCCTCCTTCGAGGAGGGCCACTCTCGAGGAGGGCCACCTCCGGGGAGGAGCCGAGGGGGAACGGCAGAGTGGACTGGCCCCAGCAGGAAAGTCGAATCGTCGGCCCCGGCGGGGCTCCCCTGGCCCCGCTCGCCCGCACTTTGAGGAGCACCGCAGCTGGTCCCCGCGCCCTGGTCCCAGCGCGCGGACGGGGCTCGTCGGGCTTGGGCTCGCCCTCGCCTCCCTTGAATTCTTGAGCACCGCAACTGCTTCTGCCCTCTCCTCTGTTGCCGTCGTGGCTTGCCATCCTCGCACACGCTGATCCGAGCCTGGGAGCTGATTTTGTGTCGGCTTCCCATACGGCCGCATGCTGCTGATGGCGCCGTCCGTCTTGAGCACGTTGGCCCCATCTAGAAGGTATGAGGAGCAGTCGAAGAAAGGGAAACAAGGGGAGGAGGAGGAGGAGAAGGAGGAGGTAAGGAGCAGGAAGAAGATGAGCAGGACATGGAGAAGCAGGAGGAGGAGCAGGAGGAGAAAGAGAGAACCGCGCAGCGCAGACTGGATGAGGTGCGCAGCGCAGCACTCACTGTGGTTGGTGCGCAGCGCAGCAGGGATTGGAGGACGAGGGGGAGAAGGATGGATCAACATCAATCCAGGATGCATCAACGGTGCTGCAGCACACCATCCCGTGCCAAGTCCCCTACTCGTAGGTCCGTGCAACGACTCCTTGTCCAGGATGGCCCCCCTTGAATGACGAGCGCCACGTATGGCTGTCACACTGCCCCTGTATGGGGCGACTCTCGCTACGCATCTCCAGAGAGTGCACATCGGGGGGCCCAGGAAGAGCCTTCTACTCCTCCTCCTCCTTCTCCTCCTCATCCTACTCCTCCTCCTTCTCGTCCTCCTCCTCCTCGTCCCTCCTCCTCCTCCTCCTCCTCCTCCTCCTCCTCCTCCTCCTCCTCCTCCTCCTCCTCCTCCCTCCTCCTCCTCCTCCTCCTCCTCCTCCTCCTCCTCCTCCTCCTCCTCCTCCTCCTCCTCCTCCTCCTGCGCCGAAGAACGGGATGACTTTCCCCGAGAGGGCCTGATCTTGCCATTGGGCCCCTTGTCCATCAGGGGGTGCCCGCCAGAGCAGGGTCAAAAGGTCCTCCTCCTCCTCCTCCTCCTCCTCTCCTGGGTTGTGCGGCTCGGCTCTCAGAGCAGCTCGACTGCGAAAGCGAAGGCTGAGGTTTCTCCCAGGCACGCCCCCTTGTCGCCGGCCCCTGGCGGGACGGCGCCTCCACCCGGGGTGGGAAAAAGCTGTCGTCCACGCACCCGAGGGGGGCGCGCCGAGGGCTTGCCGAAGCCTGGGCCTCTGACCTCTCTCTCGTCCTCTCTCTCTCTCTCCCTCCCTCCCTCCCTCTCTCTCTCTCTCTTCCCCTCCATGGGCGTCCAGTTCTCCGCCCACCACCTCCTCCTGGCCAGGCCGTCCTTGAGCGGCTGGAACACGTCCGCCACCGCCGCGCGCAGCTCCGCGCGGTCGCGCTCCTGGGCAGCGGCAGCCCCGTGGGGCGGCCCCGTGGCGGGAGGCTCGAGATGTCAGTTGGAGTTCCCACTCTTGGACTCCTCTTGGGGCCCTCTTGGGCCTTCTTGGGCGCCTCTTGGACGGTCTTGGGGCTCTCTTGGGCCGTCCTGGGGCTCACTGGAGGCCGCTTGGGCCGTCGTGGGCCGATCTGTGGGGTCTCCTGGGCCGTTTTGGACGTTGCTAAGAACCTAGCTGCGCATCTGTTAGCATGCATCGCCCCCCTCGGGGATGAAACAAATTTGGCCTCCTGGGCCGTCTCGGGGCGCATCTTGGAGCCTTCGACGTCTTCGGGGCCTCTGGAGCCCTCTTCAGGGGGGAGGGGGCGCTTCTCCTCCTCATCCTGCTCCTCCTCTCCTCTACATACGCCTCCTTCTCTTTCTGCTGCTGCTGCAGCGTCTGCTCCTCCTCCCTCCTCCTCCTCCTCCTCCTCCTCCTCCTCCCTCCTCCGCCTCCTCCTCCTCCTCCTCCTCCTCCTCCTCCTCCTCCTCCTCCTCCTCCTCCTCCTCCTCCTCCTCCTCCTCCTCCTCTTACTCCCCCTCCTCCTCCTCCCCCTCCTCCTCCTCCCCCTCCTGCTCACCACCTCCTGCCATAACCCACTCGTGCGTCTGCGCTTCGAAGCGTGCACGGAGCACGGGCCCGCTGTGCCTCAGCGCTCTCTCCCCCAGGGGAAACCGACGGATACTGATACCGCTACTTCCCGGACCTCCCCCCATGGCGCGTTGAGACCAGAAGTTCAAGGCGAATCCAGCAGCGGCAACAAAGGGCATCCCAGGATACCCAAAAAGGCGAAAACGAGGCAAGTCCAGCGGTAGCGGTGCCGTGGTGGCCTCCGGAGCTGTTTTGAACGGGGGGGAAGCCAAGGAGGCCCCGAAGGGGTCAAACAAGTCGAGGGGAAAATTTGGGAATGTCCCAACCAGGGCCCCAGGCCCCCAGCACGCCAGCAGATATGCAGGGCGTCTGGGGGTCAACACCGACTCCCGGCGTCCCCGCCTGCCCCGTACCCTGCGTTTCCCCTCTTTCCGATGCGAGCAAAGCGTAGCCACTTTGAAATACCTGACAGGTTCTGAACAACCTGCTTCTCCTCCTTCCTCCTCGTTCATCCTCCTCATCACCACAAGCATTCACTGTGTGGTGCGATTCGGTCGCAGACAGCTCCAGTGAAGTAGTGACCCACACTCTGTTTGAACTTGAAATAAAAAGATACCAATCACGCGGAATGAGCCGAGGCCTACGGCCCCAGAGGAAAACAGAGCTCACAAAGTGTCCCCCCGCTGATTTTTTGGCACGGCCCTCACAGATCTCCCCCCCCCGTGAGCTCCACTCTCTGGCCCAGGGACAAAAATAGCATGGCGCCCCTCCCCCCATATTAGGGCGACGAAATCTATACATATCCACTGCTCCCAGGCCAGGCCCATCCTCAACCCCGCAGCGGTGTATACGCCACGCCCTCCTGGCTTGGCCAGGACGGCGCATACACAGCTCCTGGGTTCAAGATGGGCATGGTCAGGGAGCAGTGGATATGTATAGATTTCGTCGCCCGACATATCGGCACACCCTTCACACGGATCGTGCCCCAGAGGGATGTAATTTCACGTGCGGCCCTGGTGGGAGAAATCGCATAACGTCACGCCCCCCTGTGTATGTTGACTGTCTCCTCACACGGATCGCGCCCCACTGGGAGCTCCACCGACAGCCCCAGAGCCAAGCTTCGCATCCCGCCGCCACGCTCATGTCGGCACACCCCTCACCTGGATCGTGAAGTCGGGGTGTCATGGGTGCCTCTCGGCGCGCGGGCTGTTACGGCGCTGGGTCCTGGCCATTCTTCTCCATCCTTTTCCTACTCCTGTTAATCCTCCTCCTCCTCCTCCTCCTCCTCCTCCTCCTACTCCTCGTCCTCCCACTCCTCCTGCTCTTCCCACGTTTTCCTTTGTCCCCTGCCTCCGAAAACTGAAGACCACAACGACGGCGAGGGTGACGATGACGATGACAAAGGGGAGAAGGAGGAGGAGGAGGAGGAGGAGGAGGAGGAGGAGGAGGAAGGTGAGGAGGAAAAGGAGGAGGAGGAGCAGGAAGAATATTGTAGCGTGTTGGGAGCCTAGGGGGTCCATCCAGGTTTTCTGGGGATCGATTCGGCTTTCCGTGGGCCGTCCAGGAGGTGTCGTTGGACAGGTCGGTACAGTCGTGGCTATCGCGAGGTGACTGCGTGGGATCTCTGAGCCGTGGTGTTTCTCTCTTGGGGATTGTCTCTCGGGTCCCTTGTGTGGCTCGCTTGGGGATGGCCTGGGGCCACGTGTACAAGGCTAGGCAATACAAATGCCGCCACCGTGCCTGGGTTGTGAATTTGAAGCCTCTTGGATGCATGTTCGGTTCTCTCGGGGCTCTCTCGGGAAGCCTCTTTGGTGAGCGTCTTGGAAACAATGGGCATCTGAAGGGCCGTTTGGGGGCCTCTTGGAGACTCTTTGGGACGTCCTGAGGGCATCTTCGGGGCTTCTGGGGGCCTGCCGGCGATCTCGAAATGTCAATTCGAATCCTCCATGTTGGGCCCCTGTAAATGTCCTGTCGGGGCTCTCTTGGGCCGTTTTGGGCGCTTCGCGGGCCGTCTTCAGCCTCTCTTTGGCAGCTTTAATGCCTCATTGGGACGTCTTGGACGCTGTGAAGACCAACGTGGTGAATATGCAGGAAATGTACGCTGTCCGAAAAGAATGGGGCGATTTCGGCCTCTCGGGATCCTCTTGGAGGGCCTCTCGGAGCTCTCTCGGGGCGTCTTGGAAACATCTGGAGTCGCCGGGAAGGTATCTTGAGCGGTTCTGGGGCGCCTTTGAGGCGCTTTTGGTACTCTGAATTGCGCAGCGAAATCTTGGCAAGCCTGGCTTGAGCCAACATGGCTACGGGCACACATATACGTATACATATACATATGCATATATACATATACCTATACATATACATGTACATGTACATGTGCATGTACATATGCATATGCATATACATATACATATACATATACACATACATGTGCATATACATATGCATATGCATATACATATACATATACATATACATATGCATATACATATACATATACATATACACATACATATACACATACACATACATAATAATAATGATAATACTACTACTACTACTACTACTACTACTACTACTACTACTACTACTACTACTACTACTAATGATAACACGAAAAAATAATACTAGTACTGATAATTCTGATGATCCGTGTGTATACACACGTTTTATATACACATAAAACTTGTGCGTGGGTGTGGGCAGGGTGCGGGGAACCCCCGACGAACCGGACGAGCACACGTATCCACACAGGGTGGCCGAATCGTTGCTGCCATGGTCTGCAGCTGCGTCGCCTGCGATTGCGCCCAAACTGCCCAACGATCCTCAACCCAGACGGCCCTGGGCGGGCGGCCCCAAGAGAGCCCCAGGCTGGCCCAGAGAGCCGCTCGGCGGCCACAGACGGCCCCGAAGACAGCCCGGCGACGGACGCAAGAGTCCCCATACGACCAAGAGGGCCCCAAAACGGCCCGAAGCGGTCCAGGGAACCTCCAAGACTGCCCAAGAGGAGCCCAAGACAGCTCCAAGACGGCCCACATGAGCTCCTTGAGAAACTCCCAAGAAGTGCAAACAACGGGTGTCACATGTGGCGGTCGTCCTCGTCCTCCTCTGATTGCACACTCGGCCATCGGGAACCAGACGGCCTGCTATCACCTGTGCCAAGTCAATGCGATCGGCCGACGGGAATGAAACAGCCTGCCAGTAGTTGCGCCACAGGTTTTGCCGTCGGCTGCCGAGGAGAAAACGGCCTGCCCTCGGTTGCGGTATGATATGTTACGCGCTCGGCCGCCGAGAATTTTAAACTGTCTCATGTTGGTTGCGTCAGGTGTTGCGCGCTGGACCGCCGATTGATTGAACCATGTCGGCCGCCGAGAATGAAACGGCCTCCCATTGGTTGCGCCGTAGGCTGCGCGTTCGGCGGCCGACAACAAAATGAGCGCCGAACGGGCGCGACCAGCCCAGGTCAGCCAGTCCAGCCCACACCTCGAGAAACAAAGCCGGGCCGCGCCCGACACGCCTCGATCCTCCATCGGGGACGTGGACGAGGTGGAACGGGAGGGATGGGGAGAGAGGAGCAAGAGGCGGAGGAGGAGGAGGAAGAGGCGTGCCGCGCCGTATTTAGCATGTTCCTTTCCCTCGGGGCTCCGCGGTCCCGACGTCCGCCTCGAGCGCGGCCTGCTTGCCCTCGCGCGGGGGGGCTGGTGCCGACGGCCCTCCTCCTCCTCCTCCTCCTCCTCCTCCTCCTGCTCCTGCTCCTCCTCCTCCTCCTGTTTCTCCTCCCTGGTTCGCTGCTCCTCGTCCTCCTCCTGGAATGGAGCTCCCACCTGGACCTCCAAGGATGGAGAGGCCCTTGGGCCCCAGACGACCTTGCCTGTGCCATGCATGAAAGGCATCATCGACGCACTGCAGTGCTGCTCCTCTTCGTCCTTCTGGTCTCGGTCCCCATCCTCCTGATAGTCATCCCATTCTCGTTTCCCCTCATCCTCATCTCACCCCAACTCCCCGCCATGATTTGCGCCTCTCCCACTCCTCCTCCAGGCTACGGCTACTCGTACTAGCGCGACTACAAAACATTGAAGCCACAACGGGTACTGACAAAACTACTGGTACTGCTACGGGCCCAACAAGAAAACCAACTACGAATAAGACTGCTGCTGCCCGGACTAATCTCATCCTACTGGAAACGCTACACCTTCCTTCTCCTACTCCTACTCTTACTGCGACAATTACGACGCCTACGACGACGACGGCGACGTCGACGACGACGACGACTACTACTGCTACTCCTCCTCCTCCTCCTCCTCCTCCTCCTCCTCCCCATCCTACTACTACTACTACTACTACTACTAGTAGTAGTAGTAGTAGTTAGTAGTAGTTGAGTAGTAGTACTACTACTACTACGTTACTACTACTACTACTACTACTACTACTACTACTACTACCACTACTCCTACTACTACTACTACTACGACTACTGCTGCTACTACTACTACTACTGGTACAACTACTACTACTACTACTACTACTACTACACTACTATTACTACTACTCCTACCACGACTCCTACTACTACTACTCCTACTACTACTACTACTACTACTACTACTGCTACTACTACTACGAATACTACTACCACGACTACAACTACTACGACACCTCCTCCTTCTCCTCCTCCTCCTCCTCCTCCTACTACTACTTTCACCACTACTACTACTACTACTACTACTACTACTACTACTACTACTACTACTAGTCCTACTACTACAACAACAACAACTACTACTACTACTACTACTACTACTACTACTGCGGCTACTACTACTACTGCTACTACTGCTACTACTACTACTACTACTACTACTACTACCACACTACCACTACTACGACGACTACTACTACTACTACTACTACTACTACTACTACTACTGCCACTACTACTGCCACTACTACGGCTACCACTGCTACTACTACTATTGCTACAGCAAGTACTACTACGACTACGTCGACGACGACGACTACTACTACTACTACTACTACTACTACTACTACTACTACTACTACTACTACTACTACTACGACACTACTACTACTACTACTACTACTACTACTACTACCACTACTACCACCACTACTACTACTACTACT